TTTTGAAATTTTTGATAATACTTGCTGATTTTATGATGCGGAAAAATGCGTCATTCAGTCCTTATGATGTCATCATGAATAACAAGAATCTCGACATCTTTCATTTAATTACACATTGATCATATTCCAGTTTAGATATAATTGCATTTATAACCTGCGGACATTACTCCTACTGTTTTTGCAAATTAATTAGAACTGTAATATAATCTTAATGTTTTTGTTTCTTTACTTTGTATATTAAAGAAGTATCTGATGTTACTCAATAACAAATTAATCTCATTTTATTTATTTTTTAAATCATGATGTGATTTATAAATAAATCTAATGTTTGAAATAATTATAAAAAGAAAGAAGAAAGAATAAAATCGGTTATAAACTATGATCGTGTGTGTAGTGATGCGTATAAGATACATATTACGCGATTTTTTATTGTCAATCGCGTGTAAACATGGTAGACCAAGTCAAACACGAAAAGCAAAGTACAAACATACCTTTTATAGATGATAATAAAACTGAATCTAGTAAAGTAAGTAATCGAAAATATTTCGATTTTTTTTCTAAACTTCTTTTATTTATAATCTAAATTAAAAGAAAGTAGCAGCTAAAAAAAATGGTTCATCTGATAAATTTTTGGCATCAAAAAATTCTTTTTCGAAAGCACCACCAACTGATAATCTTTATTTTAAATTTGATGATCCGCATTTAACTAAGGAAGAAGAAGATCGTTTACAATTATCATTCAAACAAGGAGTTGAAAAACAAGCAAAAGAAGTTGAAAAAAGTGCTGAAAACAAACCAGTATGTGAAATATTTGAATTTGATGAAAAAATGACATTAAATGAAAATATTCCTGGAGTAAATATGGGTTTTCTCGATCGATTATTTCATCAAATAACTCGACCACCACCTTCGGAATCCGATTATTTAAGTGATGATGTATTTGTAGAAACTGAAGACGATGATATAAACATAAAAACTGTAACTAATAGTAATACAAATGTTGGTCATAGTAAATCAAAACGTGAAGGTTCATTTATGGAACATATTCGATTATTTTTTACTGATTTAAATGAAGAAACTGAGGTTATTCGTGGTGTTATTGACGAAGATACTTTATTTAATCGACGAAGCCGTAAAGCAAAACAAATTCATCCATCAATGCAATATAATCAAATAACATCTCTGTAACTTTTCTTTTTTTATATAAATTTAGATTGATATTATTAAATTTTATTATCATTTTTATATGCATGTTATTCTCCACATCTTATTTGTTTATAAAGAATACGCTTTATTTATATAGAGGTCAACATGAATTGCTAATGTTCTCTCTTTCTTTCTACTAATTAATATGCATGCACTTACAATATGTTTAGATTAGTCAGAATTAGAAGGGTAATAAACTATTATATTACAATTTGTAAAAGAAATATTTTTGTTAATTATGGGTCATGCATCAATAGATATTCATTAATATTATAGAAGAGTGGGTAGATGTGGGTGCTGTGTTTATTCTATCAACGCCCACACTTGCATCCACATTTTTCTCGTTCTTCGTTTTTTACTGTTGATTGCATTTTTAGTAATGTTTATTCACATAACCCGACTAAAAATAAGTTTCGAAAATGAAATATTATCTTATAAATAATTTTAATCTAAAAAAATTTATTTCTCTTTGAATATAATCTGTATATAAAATTAAAGATAAGTATAATATGAAATAGGTGTTGATCGACTACTACTATTTGTTGTAAGAGTATTTGAATTCTGTTCTTTTTGTAAATCAGTTTGAAGAATATCATAAGCTATTTCCGATATTGTTGCTATTTTATTTTCTGATCTTGTTGATGAACGAATTGATCGTCGTGCAAGTAATTGTATTTGTGTATCAAATGTTAAATGCCAACTAAAATAATGTGTTCGTCTTATTAACCATAAACTATGTCCAATTGCTGATAGAATAATGAGAAAACAAAAAATCGTTATTAATGATAAAACCCATCCAAGATTTTTTTGATTTGTAAAAGAAAATGATTTTTTTGTAGTTATTTCTTCATCGAATATAATTGTTGTTGATTCATATATTAAATCTTGTTGACTACTTTGAAATTCTTCATTTGTTGTTAATGTATTCATAAAACCAGAACCTTCACTACTTAATGTCATGAAATCATCATCTAAAGTTGATCGACGACCAATAGAATTTGAAGAAGGTGTTGGAACTAGTTTATATGAATATGTTACAAATTAATTTTTTAATTTTAAATATCTACCTGGACGATATTTTGGACAAGATCCTTTCCAATCAATATTTAAATTTGATAAATAAAGTGTATCTAATTTTGGATTACGAAATAAAACTCGTGTTTCAATTGATAACTAAAATTTATTTAAAAAATAATCAAAAAATAAATCAATAGAATTCTATTCGTCATACATTTTTTATTTTTGATCTTAATGAATGTTCAATACGTAAAGTTTTATTAGTTAATTGAATTTTTTGTAAAGTATTATCTTGTGCTTTATCTTCTACAATCCATAATTGACCAACTTAAATACAAATATTATATCAATTTGAAAGCAAAAAAAATCTAATCATTAATATTTTACCTGGTTGACCACGAATTCGTAAAGTAAATGAAAGACAACCACTAGTATTAGATGATAATGTACTATTATATTTTAATATAGCAGAACACATTTGACGAACACATCGAGGTTCAGATGTTAAAGTATATGCTGCACCATTCCATAATGAATCTATTAAATAGATTTAGAAAAGTTTAAAACAATAATTCAATGAATTTATTTACTCGGTATAGATTTCCAAATTAAATTCGATCGATAAGAATCTTTTCTTTGACTTTGATTAACATTGAACCATTGTTCGTCTATGATTAGATTTGTTTGTTCTGATGATGTCATAAAATCAAAATCATTTGTTGATGAAAAAGAAATTGTATCTGATGAAATCGTATTAGATGGAATAGTTGATGAATCTGTTTGATTAATATCAAATTGATTTGTTGTTTCTAAAAATGTTGTTCTTTCATTTCTTATTTGAGTTATTAAATTTAACTCATTTGTTATTGATGAACTTTCATTTAATATTAATTCATCATCTATATATTGTGCTGAATTAAAAGAAATATATATATATTTGTTTTAATACTCAAATCTATTTTCTTTTTATTACCTTGAACAGTAAATAAAATGGAAAAAATGATGATCTTCATTCTTCTTTTCTTTTAGGTAGTGTTCACCTTTTTCATTCTTTTTTTCGACACATAGAGTACTCATTAGAACAATTGTTTCAATCAATTTGTTTGTTTCTAAGACAAAGAATGACCTTGTTTAAAAGAAGAAACACATGTTATACAATACATATTTTAAGAAAAAAAAGAAGAAGAAGAAGAAGATACTGATAGAGACGAAAAAAAAAAGAAATGTTTTGTCTTGTATTATTTATGGACTCCATTCAAGTAAACCAACACCTTGTCCATCGAGAAATGAATTAGTTAAAATTCGAATCCAATCAACAAGCCACCATATACCAATACCACCAAGAGTTAATAATTTAAAAACTCCAGCTACAATATAACCTGCATTACCAACACTTAAATAAAACCAATCAGCACCTAAACCACCAAGAAAAAATGAAAGTAGAAATGCGGCTAATTTTGATCTTTGTTGATAAGTACATTGATTAGATCCATCTCGTGCTAATGACCAACCACGATTGCATATACATAGAGCAGGAGTTGTATTTGTATTACAGATTCCTTGACCACAATCAGTAGATGTTGTACAGGGAGTTAATGCTCGGGATGTTATATTTTGAGCTGTTGTTATCGAAATAATAAATGTAAAAAATATAACGATTGATATCATTATTTATAAAAAAAAAGCTTCGTTCTTGTCGTCTTTATCTGTTAGAAATGAAAAATGATCATTTTGATTGACTATACAATATATTTTTCATTTACTTGAACAAATATATTTTCGTTTGGTAAATATTTGTATTTATTACATTTGAAAGACAAGCTCTAATCAAATAATAGAATTTAATTTCTTTTTCATTTATTCTTCTAGACTATATTCGATTCATTACATTAACAAAATAAAAATAAATATTAATTTAATCGAAATAAAAGAACAACAGTTTCATGTTAAACTTGAAAGATAATATCATTTACTTCTTGACTTTTAATTTGTTAACGAGAGAGAGAGAGAAAAAAAAGAGAAGGACCTTGAATAATCAAGTCAATTGAACAATTAATTGTATACAGATGAAAATAAATCTTCGTTGTTATAATTAAATTTTATTTTTGTTTTCAACTAATATTTATCAGACAGATGAAAAATAACAATAAATTTAATCAATACCTAGAACTTTCGACACTTCCAAGAGTCATCGACAGTAGTCGTAGCAAGTGATGCTGTTGTTAGTAATACTAATGAAAACATAGAATTTTCTGAAACTATTTAATCGTGACATTTATTATACATCAGAATATCACTAAGATTTTTCTCTTAGATCGTTTTCAATATTTAAATTAACTAAGAAATCTTTGTAATCAAAGGTATCTTCGATACCATATGAATCAAATCGAGGAGAATTAGAATATCCATCTGCCCATTTTTTTTGTTTAGACGTTCACAATAATGAAAATATACAAAACTAATTTATAAAATTATAAATTCAGCGAAACGGATTGAAATAAAATATTCAAACTAGCATGATTATGATACTTGAAGACGCATTATTTTCTGTGATGAAAATTAATTTCGAATAACAGACAACTGTATCAGATGTATTGCAGAACAAGAATACGAAAAAAAACTTCACCTATTTTGATCAATAGAATGATTGTTATCAGTTATTTAAAAGTATTATAAGTAAAAATTTGTTTGAGAAACGATAATGAATATTTTCAAGAAAGCAGAAATCTAATTGCTTTATTTGTATATAAAAACTGAAGAAGAAAAGTTTGTTTTTATTATATTTTAATAGGTTTTTGATCTACACCATTATTACGATAAAATTCATTTTTAACATGTGCAATTCGAATATGAGATCGATCATTGAGATCAAGTGGACGATTATGTCGACGACCATATATAGATGACGATCGAGTTGGATAAGATTTTTCTTGTTCCTATATATGATGAAAAAGAAAATATTTCTTTATCATTCATAGAAATAATTAATCAGACTTCTTTTGGTTGATTTAATCCAATAAATTTTGAATGTTGTCGATCATCACGATGTGCTTTTGGATTAAAAGTATAGTCTATGTGAAAGATTTGATCATAGATTGATGATGGTTTTGTCTAATAGAAATATAATTTTTAATTTCTAATTACTGAACTATCTATTTATCTATATACTTGTTTAGTTGAATTAAAACAATTTCTTTCTTTAGGTTGTAATCGTCGAGTAGGCGGGACAAATGCAGTTGCTGATAATTCACAGGTATATCCATGTAAATCGAATGTATTATATGGTGTTTCGACATGAATATGTTGGGTTGGTTTCGAAGACATTTTGAAAATAATTTTCAATCTTGTTTTTTTACCTTTGATCTTTGATAAAGCGTTGCTTAGAAACGACACCTATGATGAAGAAAATAAATACATCTTAGGGTTTCTTATATACTACACCAATATATGTTTATTAAGAGCAAAAGATAGAATAATAACGATTAAATTTTAATAGCATTCATTTTAGTTTATTTAAGCTTTAAATAATTTTCTGTATGGATTTAAATAACTTATTATTTGATTTTTAATTACTTAGTTGTCATATTGCGCAATCTTTACCTTTTCCACTCGACACCTCAGTGAATCATTTATTATCGCAGTCTAGTAATTATTTAGAAATAGAGAAAAGTTTGTAATTTAGTAAGTAAAAATTAATTCCATTCGAGCATTACGAAAATGATGATGAACAACAAATACTTTCCTAATGTAATCATACATGAATTCATATAATCACACTAATGTTGTACAACTATTCGTATTGTATTGTTCTTATGTAGTGAACCAATGGTGGATATAGGATTTTTATAATAGGGAAGGATTTCGATCGAAAATCGTATTATTACCCCAATTAGACATATCATCTACTGATCTTCTATTACAGAAAAAATGGCAACGAAATATGAAATCTATCTATGCTAACTTCACGTACTGTTTCTAAAATGACGAGAATCATGTGTTAATCTATTATGAGAAATCAATTCATTATATTTTATTATAAAATGTAATCTTTCGTCGTTACTGATCCTTTATCAATTAAAGAGCGATTATAATACATGTATATTGAAATCAATAGAATAATTAAAAAATGATTGATTCTAGTTTCACAACTATTGTTGTAAAAATCCTTATACATGAAGAGTGCATATATATTCTTAGAAACATTGTCATTCTAACACTGTTAATTAAGATATCTATTTGATTCAATATTTATTTATTTTAATAAAGTGCGAGTTTCACAAAAATTGTTAATTTCTATGCCTATATAAAATACAGAAGAGAAATTTTTCTACTAGAATGTAAACGATTAATTTAATGTAGAATGAATATTTTATTTAATCACAAAAGTAAGACATGTCTTTATCGTAAAAATGCGAGCCAAAAAGCCATAATAGCACATGAGATTGCAACAAAAAGTGACAGACGAGTACCAATAATCGACGCTAAAATACATGAAAAAAGAATGAAATAAATCAAATTGAATCAAATAAAAACCTTTATAAAAGATTCCAGCAAATCCTTTCTTTTCTGAAAAAAACCATTCGCGAAATTTTGGTACACGACGCATATAACCACATGTACAAATTGTTAATAAAACGAATACAATTATACCATCAAATGAATATGCTAAATATCGAAAAAAAGAACTCTTAAAATATATTTATTGTTTTCTATTTTGAAATTTACCGTTAACCATTTTTCGTATATTCTTATGTTTTTAGAAAAGATTTTATCTGAAAAAGAAAAAAAGATGTTTATTTATTTATTTATAAAATACTTTTGTAACGTGTCAACAATAAGACCAAATGATATAAATGATGCATAATTTTCCTTATGAATAAATAATTGAGCAACTTGAAAAAGTAATTCTTCATTATCTTCTAATTGATATAAAAGTTTAGTTTTTTCTTCATTTGAAAGATTTTCATTCAGATAATAATTAAATAACGAAGGATTGATTGTTAATAAATCACCAACACGATTTCTTTCAATTGACATTGATAAAAATTTTTTATCAAAATTTAATTCAGACTAAATATTAAAAACAAAAGAATATTTTCTTAAGAAATTAAAAAAGAAAAATATACGGGAGATCGAAAGAGTAAATCGGTTAATGATGATATTGGATGTATCAACCATAATTTATATGCATAAGATGTCAGATCTTTTGAATTATATAAATATTGTATTAATGAATTCATGTCCTAAAATAAATTTAAATGAAAAAATATCAAAAATGATATAATTTATAATCTTCACATATGAAAGTATACAAAATAGAGAAATATCTATGTTTACATTCAGATTTCCATAGGAATAAGATGAACAGCTGCGATATTCAGAGATTTCCAGATTTCGTCAACTAGCACTTTCGCCAATACACCTTGCGGAATGTCACCAATTAGCGAAAGCCCAGTGCACGCACGCCAACATACTTATAGGAAATTCATCAGTCATTATGTGATTATATATGTATAAAAATAGCTCCTAGTAACTATATTTAGGGGCTTCAGCTATAATATGCATATTCGGATAATATTAGGTGAATTTGCCACATGCATTTTACACTTGTGTTGTTCTATAACAGTTGGCGAAAATCCACTGGACTTATGCCAAATCGCGCCTGAACTTTCGCCAATGGCGAAGAGACAGTAAGCCTTATATTTCATGTGATTCTCTATGAATACTATAGATGTTATTATTTCATACTTCTCCATCAAATTGAATAATATTTTCAGTTAAAATTCTTTCCCAATCATTATTTTTTTCGATCATTATTAAAATTAATTCATTTTTTAATGTTAATCCATGAGATCTAAAAATAATAAAATAGAAAATTTAATTTAATATATAATAGAAAGAAAGTAATCGAACCCTTTCATTGTCTGTATCTGTTCTTTTGACCAAGTATTATTAAGAATTTGAATAAGAGATTCAAAATGAATATTTCGTTTTGCTTGTAAAAGATATTTTTGAAAAATTTTACAACGATTTTCATCAGTTTCAATATCTTCTTTTTTTAACTAAAAAATTAATTTTATTAAGAAAAATTTAAACAAATATTTCTTAATATATTACCTCAGTAAATGAATCAAATGATGATAATAAAGTTGATAAACGATATTGTTCAAAGAGTAAAAGATCATCTGATTGAAGGCCTTGTTTATCAAACATCTAATTTAACAAGTAAAAAATTGTCACATAAAGAATATCTAAGCAAAAAATCCTAGAGAAGCTTTTAAATATTCATATTATACATGTACTTAGCCCATACTTATACGAAGTAATTCGACTCAAGATACTTTGACATTCCTAACATTATGTGAGGTAACTTACTTTATCGAGTTTATCAATTAATTTGAATCGAACACGTCGATCGATTATATCCGAACGACACATTTGTTGTAAACATAAAAATAATTCTTTTTCATCAATTTCATCCAACGATATACTTTCCAATAAATTATTTAATATCAAATGACTATTTTCATCTCCAGATCTACAATAAAAAATAAAAAATAACTAATTATTCATTCAAAAATTAATTTTACTTGATCATATGACTAATTTTCTCAATAGTGAGTTGTAAAACTCTTGGAATTGAAATATCATTAAATAAATTATTTTTTAAATAAATAATTAAATTAAATTGTCCATGTTTACTTAATATATGTGATAAAATTTCCTCTAATTCTTCAATATGATCACATTGATCTAATTGATTCAATTCATTTTCTGAATAATCTGATAAAAGTTTAAATAACATTTGTAAACGTAATAAACGTTGATTTAATATTTCTTCTAACGTTTTCCATTGTTGATCTTCTTTCGAAAGAATTAATTTTATAGAAAATTCAATAATTTCAATTCGTTTATTAATTGGAAGAATATTTGATGAGATTAATTCATTGAGAAGTTTTTGAAAATCTTCAAATGATGTTATTCGATTTAATAAATCAAATATTAATAATGATAACGAATTATATCGTAAATAATATGAATAAACCCAACTTGATGTAACAATCAATGAAGATGAAACTTTAACTTGATCAAGAGCTAAACCAAGATTAATTATATTTGAATCATTAGCATATTTTTCAATAAATAATTCTGGTGATGAAAGAAATAATTTATAATCAAAATCTAAATAAACAAAAATATTAAAGTTTTTTAAAATACACAAATTATTTGTTAAGTTCCTGGTATAGTCTGATCATTTTTTTACTCTACATTAATAGCTATTTCAAGAGAGGAAATCGGATTGTGGTTCCGGACGTACTCTAGAGCGTATCATTTGGCTTGTATCGAAGTGCATTGAGTGTGGCCTTAGATGTCGATGGAAAGTGTAATCATATCCATACCCTCAGGATGGTAACTGCCAGGCTATAGCTATGAAGGGTCCTGACAAATTCTCATACTTCTCCGGATCCAGCAGGAATCGCTTTTTTCCCCTTGGGTTATTTCCATAGTCTAATCTATTAAATGCCATCCGATTTACTGGAAGTTTCGCATTAATTAAAGTATGTACTACAGTATTCAGAATCTTATAAAAATCTATCATTAATCTGACATAAAAGATTGGTGATCGCCTTCTTCAATCGAATTCATCTGTCTGAAAAACGCTATCAACTAGTTCTATTCTCATGTAATACAAGTCGAATGAATCGATCGGTTATTAATATTTATTGGTCAATCATGATACTAAAGATATAAAACTTGCATGTCATTATTATAACGCTCCTCAGGATTTATCTTTATACTCATTATTACTTACAGATAATTAGGAAATATCCTATGACTTAAAATTATATATATTCCCTCGTTATAAAATGTATAATTTGCAGAAAAACGAATCGAGCTAGTACCGATTCTAGTTCGAGATAATAAAATTAACTGTCACTCAAAGTTTCGTATCAATCATCTCCAAAATATTAGTATATATTTATATAAAAATAGCTTATTTAATTGTCAATCTAAGAATAATACTATTCCATGTCTAATTTGAATTACCTTGATTAAGAATATTGGTTAATTGTTGAATAGCTTGAACATGTTTTTGTGCATGTGTTAAATCTCCTAAAATCTTTTTAATATCATAAAAAAGTTTTAAACGTTCATAATCTTTTCCATCAATAAGTGGAAAAACATGTGTATGTAATCTTTTAACTAATTCTAATTTAATTTGTCGATTTTTTTTAACTCGATCAGACATAATAAATGGTCGAATTATTTTTCGTATTTCATTTAATGATAAATTTGAATTTGTTAATAAATGTTCAATATATGAATGATGACATTCATCAATTGATATATTATATTTTATTGCTAATTGTTCACTATATTCAAACGATGGATGATCACACATAAATAAACCAAGTATTGTTAAACGACGATATTCTGAATCAGTTTTAAAACGATTTAAATCAATGGAATTATCTAATTGATTTAATATTGAATATTGTCGATCTTGTACTAAACGATTATAATTTTCATTATTTTCAATTAATGTTTTATCGATTATAGAAGATGGTAATGCTTTAAAATTACGAGATTTCGAATTTTTCATTAATGATTGACAATAAATTGATAATTGTAATGCAAATTCATTATCTTTTTCAATTAAAATATCATTCTAAAATTTATTAAAAACAAAAATATTATGAACTAATCAAAGTAAGTCTAGTTTTTCAATCCGAATTGAACTTACATTTGTATTTGATGCTAAGTAAACCATAATAGACAGAGGTGTATCAATATTCACATATTTTAAGACATCTTTTTCATCTAAAATTATTGAAATTAATATTCTGTTATTTCATTTCCTTTTTGAATACGAACCAATTGGTGGAGATTTTAATAATGGAATTTGTTTGAAATCCATCTAAATATTTTATATAAAAAAAACAAAATTAAAATCGATAAAAAAACAAACTTGTTGAGAATAATCACGATCATAAAATGAGTTTGAATAATATGAATAAGTTGATGTTATTTGGTATTCTTCCTAAAATTCAATTCTATTTTAATATTAAAAGAAAATATTTTTTTGAACATACATTTGGTATTGATTGATCTCGAATATAAGTAGATTTATTAAGAATATCATTTAAAAGAATATCATCACAATGAAGACTAATAAATGATAATATTGATTCATTAATAAATGATGAATTTCTATTAATTAATGCCCAACAACATTTCCATGATGGACTATAATTTTCTTCAATTAAATATGAACATAATTCCCAACACATATTCAAATCATTGATCTTTTAATTATAAAGAAAAATAAGTTTTTATGTTATATTAAAAATATGTGTTTGTGAAAAAGTGGAATTATTTTTATGTCTTCTCTTTATCGATCGTTGTAAATCAAGATTAGTATCAAAAAACGGTCGAAACAGCTATATAGTATTTAAACACATTTTCCCCCTCCTTATGAGTTTCTGTCGCTGAAAAAAGAAATGCTCTGTATAATGCGCACCTCATGAAAGTTTTCTAAAATCGATAAAAGGATAGTTTGTATCCGTTATAGCGAGATTCATTTTCAATAATAATCATTTCGCCGAAGCACAGTATCCACTAAGGGAAGTATCACTGTATTGGGCAAAAATTGATTTTCTTTCTTATTAGGTAACATATAACTAAAATGTTGAGCCCGAATTTAAACATGTCCGTAAAAAATTCTAAAAACTAATGCATAATAAGCTAAACCTAAATTCAATAATTTTGTTTTCATAGTCTGATACTCCAAAATAATTATTCCGAATGTTTCAATGTTGTATTTTTTTGAATTCTCGATTAAAATAAAAAAACAATAAATTACTTTGAGACAATGTTCAGCAATATAAAGCATACATCGATCTTTTTTATTTTGTTTATTTCCTGTTTGAAGATGTAATGCTAATGAAATTAACTGAAAATAAAACAAGAAATTCTTTTATGAAAACAGTAAAATTTATTTTTACTTTGCTCGTATTTTTATAAGCTTGTGGATTTGAATTAAGTATTGCAGGAATTATTTGCATAGGATTTGGATGACGACGAACTTGATTTACAAAATAAAAACAACTGAGTTAATAGAATAAAATTCTTTGTAAGACAAAGTTTACTTTCAAGAGGTGTTATTGAATAACGAAAAAAATCACAAATATTCTGTGATTCAATTAGATTCCGTTCATTTGTTACTAATGATTGATCATCAATTAAATCTAAACAATGTCTAAGAAAACAAAGAGAAAACAAATATAATTCAAATTTTATTTTTTGTTTTTACTTTGCCAGAAGAATACTTTTATCTTGACTACTTTTTGCTGAATCAATATAATCTGTTGCTGCTTGAATAATTAATGGAGTATGAGAACGCGATAGATTTGATCGAACTATATGAAAACATTCGAGACTATCGGATTTTAATAAACTTGAAACAAATAACTAGATTAAAAGAAAAATATTAATTTTTTAAGGATTTGATACAAATAAAAATTTCTATTTTTTACATTTGACAGTGTTTGTGATGATAAACGATGACGAGAGATTTTTTCAATATCATGATAAAGTTCATTACCAGTTGAAATATTTATTTGTTGCATTCTAAAAAAACAAACATTTTCTAATGGAGTCATATTAGAACTTTAGGAAGTGAAAAGACAGTCAAATGTAAACTACTGTCTATTTCAAAATAAACGGCGAGTGGAGAATTTTTGACTGTTGAAAAGAAGTACCTTTTGATTGTCGGGAGCAATCTGGTACCATCGGAGAAAGAGAGGCAAAATTATGGAAAGATTTCATTTCTGATTACTACTAATAACCTATTTTTGTCATCAGAAATGTGACCAAAGGAATTTTTTGAGGATGCTTGGCTACAATTCATAGGAAAGTAGTTAGAGACATATATTATTCAAAAAATGGTCAGTAGTCTATTATTTATTTCTAACTTTTCTAAACTCATCTCGTTTATGGTCATTTCTTTCAAAGTAGAATATCATTCGCGTAACGATATTAATGTTAACAAATGTTTCAATTCCGATGAATATTCTACTATATCTTGTTGTAGAATCCACTGATTACATCTAAATAACTATGGTTAAGAATTGAATTTAATGTTGACCCGATTATTATAAAAAATATTTTTTATTATATAGTTGAACGTGTAGAAACTAATAAACATTGACGTATGATTGTCAATCGAAACTCAAACAAACAGGATTCTCGAATTTTGTCTTTCGCCAATTGGCGAATGTATTAGAAAGTCTACTTTTTCTATTATTAACGATCGCTTTTCAACATACTTTTCTTTAATTGCTGATTGTATAAGAAGAACAATTGCATTTGATAATGATTCATCTGATTCCTATTTCATATAATTAAAAGAAGAAAAGTAAAGAGAAATTTTATTCGAACTTACTATAATTCTAATCATTTCCGATGGAATCATTTTAACAGACCATTTCATAAAAATTCGACATGATCTTAAAACATAAAATAATAATAATAATAATATTTTCTTAATTAAAATCTTACTGAATAATATATTCTAAATCTTGTTTATTATTCATTAATGTTAATAATTGTTGACAAATTGTTAATTGATCAATTGAATTAATATTAAAAATTAATTCTTTAATAAATTCATCTAACTGGTTTTGTTTTAAAATTGATTTAAATTTAAATGAATGAATTATTGGATAAATATCTAAATCATTTTGTAATTTTTTAATTAAAATATTTTTTAAATATTGATTTGCTTGAGGAATTAATTCAATTGATGGAATTAAAACATGTTCAATACGTTTATCAATATCATCTTGATTAAAATCATTTTTAAATGTTAAAATTAATTCAAAAATATTTTCTTCCGACATATTATTTATTTGTTTTAATGTTAAATCTTGATCACAAAATTTATTTAATAAAAATTCAAGATAAAGTTGTTTATAAATTGAATTAAATTCTTGAAAATTTTCAATTTCAAATGCATATTTACATAACTGAAGAGCATTTTCAATAAAACCAAATATTTCAAATGAAACGATTCTTTTATTATACCATTCTACAAATATTGTTCGATCAATTTCTTCATTATTTTGTTCTTCAGATGGAGAAATAAATTCATCAGTCCAGTCATTTTCTTTTTCATCGACTATTTTTTGTTGAATTAAAGAAAATTTTGGAATTAAATCTTCATATTCGATTAATGAAATTGTTTCAGGAATTTCATTTAATATTGATAAAAGATCAATTATTGATATTGATGGTATTGCACGTTCTAAAACTAATTTTAATCCATTTATATGACCTTCCTAAAACAAAATAACAAATCAATTAAAGAAATATTATTTTTAAGTTCGCTGTAATTTCCAGTAAATGAAATATTTCAATACTAAGAAATAGTGGGCACGAGGGTAGTGGCGTAACCAGAAAGTTAAGGCTGATGGGGCTCAGCCCCAAAACTATCTAGTCTTTTAGATTTTTTGATTGACAAGTTCAGTAACTAAAAAATCTGGATGATGGGGTTAAGCCCCATCTGACCCCAGTGTGGTTACGCCACTATATGAGGGTCTCTTTTATCTCACCCATCCATTGAAATCTTGTATTAACTCTTAATTAATCATTATACTCATATGTTTATTACTCAGATATGAATGTGCAAAAATAATTGCCGGTAGATTTGTCAAAATTCTTCTCACTATAAGTATGAGTTATTGCGAATTTTTATGTTGCTATATTTAATCTTATGTTCCTGGAGACAATCAAATAATTTATAGGTTACGCATGAATTTTATTCTACTTTTAACATTAAAATCTTATTAATCTATCGATATTTCGAAGTTTTTCATTCGTAGCAATTGATTAAACGATGCGGTAGAATAATCTAGCTAGCCTAAGACTTGCGCTATCCGATGGTCAAATGACGATTTCATCTATATAGGACTCGTGGGTCACTTCGTTAGCCTCATTATAGCGCAGTGGCACTCTCCTCAATCTTGACTATTTTATTATAGTTGGTACGAGTCGCAGTAATCATTACTTCAATATGATCTATTGATCAGGTCATACGAAACTAACATTTAAATTATGAATCATTTTTCCGAAATTGCATAATAGTTTTCGAGCAATATCAGTCTCACTGAATACATAAAGTCAGTATCAAAGGGTAAACAACAGAAACTTCATACCTGAAGTCTCATGAAGTCTTAAGAGTCTTAGAAGTCTTCTAAAATCTTTGAAATCTTTTGAAGTCTTTAAAATCTTGAAGTCCGCTGTTACTCCCTTGGTCAGTATCTAACGTTTGCAAATACTACCAGAACAACTGTATATATCGATTAGTAATGATATTAAATAAAAGTATTAATCTTACTCTTGCACATCTTATTGCAATTTGTTTATAATCCCATTCTTTAAATTTTTCAAAAATATTTGATTGATATTCTTGAAAAATTTTATATTTTATTCTAAGATCATCATATAAATATAATTTTCTTTTTTCATCTAAAAGTTTTCTTCTATAAAGAATAATTTGTTTTTGTGGAATATTTAATGAAATCGATTTTTGTTGTAAATCTTTTAAATATAAATTTTCATCGTTAATTGATTGAAAAAATGGTTGATCAGAATAATATAAATTATCAAATAATTCTTTTCGCGTTGCTTTATTAAGACCAAATTGTATTAAATTAAGTTGTTCATCAAATGTTGAATATAATATTGTTGTACATAATTGAAGAACATGAAGACGTGATTGAATTTTTGTTAAATGTGTTTCAATTTGTAATGATGATAAACGTACAACTTTTTCATGAATTTGATCAGATAAATCTATTCGTTTAAAAACTTTACAAACACGAAGTGCTTCACCATATTCACCATTTAATATTAAATTTTCAATTAAACGATATGGATCACTATGTTTTATTTGAATTACTCTTTCATTTATTGATTCATTTAAATCTTGAAATGATTGAAATAAACGAGATATTATATTACTATTTTCATCTACAATTCCACTTTCATTTATATTATTTATTTGACAATCAATAATAAATAATTCATCTGAAGTTGGACGACAAATACATGGCCATTTATTTAATTGATTCGATTCATAACGATATTCTTCTAATGTTTCAATACCTTCATGAAAACTCATTGAACCATCAGAATAAAATAATATTAAAGTCTAAATTATTTTATTAAATTTATTTCCTATGTATATATTATAAAAACATACTTTATCATCCCAATAACCCAAATCACAAATAAACGATCGATTCTCATTGATTTTTAACTAAAATTTGAATTATTTACATAACAAAAAAAAATTGAATTTTACTTTAGCTAAACAATAAGGATAATCATTATTTTGATAAAGAATAATTGATTGATCAGATAATAATGATACAAGATAGGATTGATTTGGTGAAAGAGCAAGACCATATATATAAATATCATTATTATCTTTTTCTTCGTCAATGATTTCTTTTATTTTAATAACAGACGGTTTTGTATCAACAATTTTCCAAATTGAAATTGTTTTTGTATCGAAAGGTACAATATAAATTTGATTTTGATTTAAATCAATAATTGCACAACTTATATGAAAATCAAATTTATCTTCTGCACATGATGCTGTATGATCACGACTCATTACATAACGAATTAATTCACCACGACGTTTTAAACATAATAAATCAAAATATCTATTTCAAAAATAAATAAATAAAAAAAAGTAAAATTTTTTTAATTACTAACGGAGATGCATCACTTCCTGAAAACCATATGTCTACGAATGAATTTTCATTATAATTTAGCTAGAAAAAACAAATAAAATTATGTTTCTTTTTTATTTAAAGAATTTCAATACTGTTCTTTTTGGTAATTCATGTAATAATTGTCCATCATACGATGCATAAACACAAACAATACCTGACCAATGTCCACAAGCTAAGAATTTTCCATTATTAGACCAAGCTAAACAATTTAAATAATTATATTCATCAGATTGTAAGAGATCAAGTGGAATTTCCAATAAAACATCAGATGTAATAAGTGATATTATACATATATTATTATTTATGACCAAAGCTAAACGATCAGATCTATATGAAGAATTAGATTTTAATTTGATATTTCATTATGATTTAATAAACATACGGAATATGAAGTGAAATAGGAGATGATTTTCTTCCAGTATGTTTCAGAAATCTTTCAGCATTTTGAGAAAGTTTTATTGATGAGCTAAACCAATTTTTAAAAGCTAAAACAAAATTAAAATAACATATATTTATTCAAATAAATTCAACACACTATTGTTCAATGTCCATGAATTCTTTTTGTCATCAGAATGAATTTTTCTTTTGAATGACCATTTAGGCTTTTCAATTAATTCAAATAATAATTCACCGGACATTATTGTCACTTCGTTTATTATTAGTATTAATAGATATTTTAGTTAACTGACTATTTTATTCTACACGTTTTAATGATCATAATCGTTTTGATCAACAAACGAGAATTTAGACATAAGATGCCGCTACATGACAGCTAGAAAATTTACTTTTTCTTTCATTTTCTAAGATATGAGTGTGAGATGAATAATATTCATAGTCACATCTATATCTACATTCGTAGTATTTGCAAACGAATGAGATCTCCTACTGAAGGTCAGAAAACCAATCATATAAACTTTAATCTCGTTATTTTCATTCTACGCCGCTCGAGTCAATGTTTTTCGACTTCTTATTTATCAGATGATTGTGATATATGTTTTCCGTCGTTGTTATATCAATCTTTTCTCTCACTTATTCGTTAATGTAAAGTGCAAGTATTTGTTTTTTAAATTGTTAGAATTTAACGATGGACAAGAGTAACATTTTTTTTCTCATTTTTATTGAAATATCAATAAAATATTGTTTTTCTGGCAATTTTTTCGTCTATGAGGATTAATTTTTCTAATGAGTTAATTAAAGGGTGTGGGTGTGGGTGCGTTTAAATTATCTCACCCTTATCCACACCTACACACTAAACCTACTGCATTATCCTGAAATGAATACAAAGAATATATTCTTAAATTTATAAACAAATGGTGTTATGATGATGAAGAAAATGTATGTGTAGCAGCATTTAACTGAGCACAAGACATAGATTATACAATATAGTTTCGAGCGTGATCAAAATTCTGATATAAATACAAGTATTAAATGTAAATGTGGAAGATTAATCATGTTAAGTAAAAGTGATGATAAAATTCAGGTGTCAAATTACTATAAACACTTAATTGCTATCAACAGGTTGCGACCAAATGAGAAAAATAAAACAAGCTGCAGATGATATTAGATCAAAACAACAACAACGACAACAATCATTAACATCGGCTATACCAACAACACCTTTATCTCAATCAAACACAGCATTAATATAGTTTTCCGATGTCTTATGACCTACTACTTCTCAAGCAACATCTAATATTAATTATCCAGCATTGGCAACTTAAGGTACACATAATGGTAAACGTCGTCTACTATTACAATCACAACAACATCGTTCTACAACAAGAAGTCGTACATAAACATTTTCTTCTGCTCTATTTTAACTCATTTTAACTCGCGTCTGATCGTTTATGTTTTACCTTTTATCTTTTTTAAATAAATAATTAAAATGTTCATGTAATACTGTAATTTGTGTAGCGTTTCTTTTTGTACACATTAATTTTTTTATATCATATTATTATTTAGAAAAAACAAAACGATCTGTGATCATGATTTCTAGAATGTGTATCTGCAGCTATGTTAATAAACTGTGAAATCGTTTGAAGTAACTGAAAGCTGCTTGAAGTAGTTCAAACTGGCTCGAAGTACCAGAAAGTAGCTTAAAGAAGATTGAAGTAGTTAAAGTAGGCTGGAATAGCGTAAAGTAGCTCAAGTTTACTTAAAGTGTGAAAGTACACTGTTTTGCCCTTGGGTATTGGCATTGGTAGTAGTGTTGATATTCGTTTTAGTATTGGTATTGGTATTAGTATTGGTGTGAGATATTGGTATTCGTCTTAGTATTGATATTGGAAGTGTTGACATTGGTATTCGTAGTACTGTTGGTATTGGTATTGGTTTTGTTATATCCCTAGTAAATTAATCTTAGTTTCTTTCCTATTCAGCTTTATAACAAATAATATCATTTATTGAGTATTTTATTTTTCTTTATTAAATACACAAATAATAACAAAAGAATGTAAAAAATATGAAGGAGATAAATAATGATTAGAATCATGCATATAAACACTTTTAAACATTTTCCATTCAAGTCCTTAGATAAGAATAAACCAATCTACTTATTTTATTATTAATTATTTTTATGTTAATTACTTTTGTGGTCATTGCTATAACTCTAAATATATAGATGCAGATGGTTACAAAGGTAAGCAGACGTTGATTAATTTTTTTCCTAATAATTGAGTTCTATCGAAGCAATAATTATAAACATTTACCTGTTCATTTGTGAAGGCGATTTATTAACTGGACAGTAAAAAACTATAGGTATGGTCAGTATATATATTGACTGATGAACACCAAAAATATCAGTAAATAATTGCAAAGCGGCCAGTACAATATGTACAAGTGGCAGTTGAAAAATATAGTTTTGATCAATAGAGAACATTTTTTGTTAGTAAGAAGTACACTTTAATAAAAGAAAGAGAAGTGTAATGAAAGAACCACAGAAAAAATAACAAGAGACCTATCAAAATAGTAGGGATGGGTGTGGGTGTGACTGTGAGTATAATTACACTTTCTATCGACAGCTAAATCCACATTCACACCCACTTCCTGTGATTTTTATCAAATTGGATTTATACAGTTTTTATGACAGTTGAGTGAAAACAATGAAGGTGAAAAGATTGGGTTTCTTGCATCAAAGAAAAGATAATTAGAAATGTTTCATCTGTTGGTCCACTTCATTCTACAGTCATCTATGGGTCATATATGAGAGTTATATAGACAACGCATTTCAAACCATTCAATTCGACATAGATCTTGATGAGTATCATCAAATATTTATATTTTCATTTCTCTTATTGAGATCTGAAAAAGTGTGGGTGGGTGTGGGTGTAGGTGTGGGTTTAGATGTTGATGGAAAGTGTAGTCGAATCCACACTTTCCATCAACATCTAAACCCATACCTACACCCACACCCACACCCCACACCCAGTTGGGTAATCGGGGTCGAGGAACTTGAATCTGACTTCTGTTTCGTTTAATTATATAAAGCAATAGCTTAATAGTTGTTAAGTAACGCGATTTCTACGAGAAATAGCTGAGCTAGTTTTAGACGAGCGTTACTTGTATATATATATATATATATATATTTGTCCAATATTAAATTTTCTTATCTAGTTGGTATCAATTTCGACGCTTCGCCTTTACCACACGATAGTTTCATTCATTCATAGCAAGGGGGTAAGAACTGTCACTTAGCACCTGTTCAGCGCCTCAGCACATGCTCAGCATCTGTTGAGTGTTTTTCAATGCAGAGTGCCAGCAATTACCTCCTTCGCGTAAGCACACTTGGAAATTTTGTACAAGTTTTAAACGCGTCGAAGTGTGCTCCTTTTTTAATATTTACTCTGGTTAAATAGTGGCGCATATGTCACTATTTCTTTCATTTTTCTTCGACTGAAATTTGATAATATTGCTATCATATTTGTTAACTTGACTTAACTCATTACGGTCAACGAACGTTTTGAAAACTATACTTTCATTATTCAGTATTCTTTTATAATTGATATATATCTCGATAAATAAACTGCTATTTTTACTTAGGCTCATATCAACATTGAAACGAAGAGTAAATATTTTATTTTAAATATATAATTCTTTCTCCTTCTTCAGATTTCTTTCAACATTAAAATAGGCAATTAATATTTTATCGTAAGCAAATAATTCTTTCTCCTAATTCAGTTTTATTTTACAATTATAATAAGCAATAAATATTTTATTTTAAATATATAATTCTTTTCTTTATACCAAAAGAAGTCAATATCGTTTTGAGAAGAAAATCGTTCCATGAATCTTTTCTACCAATGTTTGTCTAAAAAGCTATACCAGATTTATGTTTGGGTATTCATCGACTAAAATACTTTCACTCATTCTTCTGAATGACATAATCACATAAAGTAAGTTGATCATAAAATAATAGAAGAGTGAATTTTGGTATCGTGACGTGAAAAAGTATAAAGTATCGTGGGCAGATGCCTAATTCGACTTATAATATAAACATAGAATTCTCCGATATATATATACCTATCCATACATATCAGTTTAGGAATTCAGGAATGCATATTCTTTCATTTATATTTATATATATACGTATATCCTCTTACCTATGTCAGTGTAGACATTTCAGAATACGTGTTCTTTCATTTATTCTTATAAAATTTATATTTATACATATATCCTCTTACCCGTGTCAGTATAGAACATTTAGAATTCGTTGTTCTTCCATGTATACTTATAAACTTATATTTATACATATATCACCTTACCCATGCCAGTATAGATATTAAGATTTCGGTGTTCTTCCACTTATACTTATAAATTTATATTTATACATATATCATCTTACGTATGTAAGTATAGACACTTCGGATTCGGTGTTCTTTCATTTATTCTTATAAAATTTATATTTATACATATATTCCCTTACCCATGTAAGTATAGGAAATTAGAAAATAGATATTCTTTTTTTTATATTTATATATATATACCCCCCCTACCCACGCAAGTTTAGGAATCTAGAAATAGATTTTGGTTTATTCTTCGTTCTCTCAGTGATGATTCTGGCAGAGATAAGTTGTTGGCTTGCTTACATGCTTGTATGTCTGACTTCATCCATTGATGGAATGATCAAGTTGAAATAAGAAGGGATCTATTCGGTAAAACTTGATCAAAAGTTATCGAGTTCGGGGAATTTGAATCTGTACTCAGTTTTTTTGAAAACATTTTCGGAGCACTTTGTCGTACACAAAGTACTAGGTTTTAGCGGTAAAAATAATTTTTTATAAAGTCTGAGAAGAGGTAATCGTGGTGGTGGAAGCTGCATCTGATGTTCGATTTTTAAAATTCTTTAAAAAATATGTTTTTTTATCGAAAATTTGACGAAACGGTTTTTGAGGTCGGAGAATACGAGCCTGATGTTAGTGTTTGCAAGTTATATAAGCAAAAAGAGTCCCTAGACGAGCGTTACTTGTACTCATTACTGTAAGTATAAGTGAAGAGGCACAGTTGATTAAAAAGTAATTGGATGTTGTTTGATATTTTTTTCTTAATTCTTCGATTCTATTCAAGCCATAATTATGAGAATTTATCAATTCATGTGTAAATCATTATATTTTTATTTCGCGTCGTCATCGTTATATTATCAACTTTGACTAATCTCTTTCTTGGTACGTAGTCAATGTGAATACCGAAAAATATTTTGGAGTCCATCGGTATCACATTCATCTCATATCTATGCTCATATTCAAACAAAGATTACGCAATGGAATAATATATTATTACTTTTTGAATGCAAATTATGTAACTTCATGTTTCATCTATTTTTTAATTCTAGATTATTTGAATATCTATGGAGCTTGTATCGTCCAAGATTCATATGCTATTTGTTCTATTTATTTTAATTCTATTTACTTTATTATCCGGCTATATATACACAAAATGCCCTTTCTTAACGACTACTTTGAAAGCTGATATCTCATATGCATCATATTATTCTCAGTTTCGTGATGTTTCTCATCCAGCAGATGGTTGGAAACCTGTTGGACATACTATTGATGAACAAAACTTACTTCACGATATGTCGATTGTCGTTGCTGCGTGGTCTGAAAATGCTGAAGATAATATACCTACAGTGCCATGTTTATCAGCCGATGGTCATTTGCTTGTGTTAAGTGTTAGTGCAAGTCGTATACGCTATGGAGTAAGTCTAACTTTTGTCACAGTCTATCCAACCGATATGAAAAAAGTTTTACCAAAAAACATTTCATCTCATCCACTCTCGTCAAATCAACAGAGTCTCTGGTGTATATTTAGTGATGGGTCAGTGACACCTGTCTATACTTATGATTCCAAATATGGCAATGATCGAGCATCTCTTTTGGATTGTCCACTTAGTCAATTTGCTAATGATCAGTTATGGAAACTGAATCAAACAATACGAGTTTATCTTGCATCAACAACAACAAAAGATAGAAAAATACCTATACTCAAAGCATTTGTAAAAGTTCCAGTAGTTTCTATCACTTCATCAAATTCTAGTCAAGAATCTTTTACATTATGTACTTCACCTTTACATAACAAAGCGAAATATTTAGTCCAATGGATCGAGTTTCATCGACTAGTTGGATTTAGTAAATTCATAATATATAATACAACTGATACTGATGATTATCTCTCAACTATTGTTAATATTTATACTCAAAAATATCCTGGTCTTGTTGATGTTGTACAATGGAATTTCTCTACTCTTGGTCTTGTTGATGTTTTACCAACACGATATTTTCAAACAGAAGCATTACATGATTGTCTAATTCGTTATGGTGATCAATCGGAATGGTTAGGTATGCTCGATCTTGATGAATATATTGTACCACTACCTCCATACGAAACTATTGTTGATTATGTTCATGCAAATTTTGGTCGACGAATTATAGGATCAATTAATTTATGGAGTCAATTTTTTTGCACTAAAAATGCTAGTGCATACACTTCAGAAGAGAATGATACAAATCGTTTAACTATTGAACGATTTACTTTTAGTGCACGTAATCGACATAAAAGTGGACGTGAAAAGTATTTATATCGACCACGTTTTGTTCTATATCTATCAATTCATCATCAGATAGTTGGACTTTCGAAACAACACCCATCAGAAAAACACATAACACTTGCTCACTATGCAACGATGAGTCGTCTACGTACAATGCCGGGATGTGGTACTAATGGACATGTTGAAGATACTAGTATTCGTAATCGTTTCGTTAATAGATTAAAAACTGCAATAGCAACTTTAATGAATAAGCATTGAAATAGAACAATTTTATACAAAAATATTTAAATGTTGTTTTTATCTTATAATATAGATTATTTTACACTCCTATATTTCACGAAAGAAATCACAAACAAGATTATGGTAATATGCTAATTTTATCTATATCCGAGTAACATCAAAAATGAAGTTTGTTCAGAGCATAAGTTATTGTAATGAGAGTAGGGCATTTTAAGTATCATACACTTAATCTCAAGATATTTTAAAATGAATAAACTTCAGTTTTATTGTTACAATTATCAAATATTACCATAGTAACAGAAACAAAATTGATCTTTATATCTTGTTTAGTTTCTTTAATTGATATCAAAATTGAATAAATAAATTAGATTTTGAAATATATTACTTTATAAAATGCTTAGTAATAATTTAGAAACAAATCTATTAGTCATATGTTCACATTATAAAAAGTGACTTCAATAGTAAAATTATGAAATCATTAGAAATAAAGACAAATTTCGAATAGTACTGTTTATTTAACAATTATAATGATGTCATTGATCTGCTATTATTAGATTTTATTGTTTGTTTTTAGATTATTTTATTAAAATATTTCTCACGAGAGAAAATGTATAAATATCAAATGTTAAAAGTAGTAGGTTTGATCGTCACCATCATTCTGCTATTTTATCTATTAAATATTCATTCAAAATCACTATACATTTTACAACTATGGAAGAACAAGACTATATTTAATGATTCTAAAGAATGTTATATTATTTTACGTGAACGTAGTGGTCGACTTGGAAATCGTTTATTTATGTTTGCATCAGCTTATGGCTTATCACTGAAATATTCATGTCAATTATACATAGATCGAAATATTATAGATGAACTTCAAAAATCATTTCAGATTAATCTCACAAATTTATTATCAAAATCACAATTAAATAACATTACTTCAATTACAAAAATCTACAATCATTGTTCATTCATTCCTAATCTTTTACATTCAAACAAAAGTTATTCGATCGAATTATCAGGATTTTGGCAAGTACATAAATATTTTCTCGATCATATGGGACAAATAAGAGAGCAACTACGTTTTAAACAATCAATTTTAGATCGAGTGAAGAATTTTCTCGAAAAAAATATCAATAAAAATGTTTCCACTTCAATAGGCATACATATTCGACGAGGCGATTTTCTACGTGTTCGACGTGTTTCATCCAACAAATATATATTCAATGCAATGTCGCATTTCCTAATAAAATATCATTCAGTTATATTTATTATAGTATCCGATGATAAAAACTATTGTCGAAAAACATTTGGTCAGAAAAAGAATGTATTAGTGACACCTGATTCATTCAATGCTGCTGATGATTTGGCTACATTGACTCTATGTAAACATACTATTCTTACTGCAGGAACATTTGGATGGTGGGGAGCTTTTCTTTCACATAATCGATTAGGTGATGCATTAACTGATTCAAAAGCGGATCATACTCCTCTTGATGTTAATTGTCGGCAGGATGACTATTTTCCATCATGGTTTTTATTTTTAAACAGTACGAATTAAATTATGAAAATATTCTACCAAAAAATAAATATGTTTTAATGTATTATATTTTTTAGATGAGATTTCAGATTACTTATTATCGACAATTACGCTTTTTTATACTAGTTGTCATTGGTATTGGTTTAGTCTTGTTTATTAATCAACCAAATTTATTTCAGTTTTCAATTCGTAGATCTAATTATACAAAATATCCTTTATTGAAAAGTAATGAAAAATGCACAACAACTGTTGTAATAGTATATTTTCCATTGAGAAAATCCAAACATAGTAAAGCTGAATATCAATCATGGATTGAAAATCTATTAGGATTTTGTCAATCACCTATCATTATATATACATCAATTGAACATCAACTCATTCTACAACAACTTCGTCGAAATAGTTCATTAAGGACTCATTTTATTGTGGAGTATAATTCACCATTTCAAATACCACCAATAAAAAAACTTGTTCCTATTTTTGAACAACAATATTCAAATGATCCTGAACGTGCATATCACTCGATTGAATTGTATGCTGTATGGTGCGCTAAACCATTTATACTGAATCGAAGTGTAGAGCTTAATCCTTTTCGAACAAAATATTTTCTCTATATTGATGCTGGAGCATTTCGATCTTCTAATTATCGTTTTCAATCATGGCCATACGAACCTTCAATTCATTCAATTCTTGCTAATAACAGACTTCTTCTTAGCATGATTTCTCCACTTCCTCGTCAGTTTTGTCCACCGTCATATACTATAGATAAAGGTCTCATTCGATATGATCTCATTCAAGCTGGTCTAATGGGTGGTACTGCTGATGCTATCCATTGGTGGACATCAGTATTTTATGAAACAATCGATATTTATATTTCAAAGAATTTTTTCATTGGAAAGGAACAAAATTTGATGAATGCTATTGCACTTATATATCCACACAGGATCAATATGATGCTTTCATTTCGTACCTCTTGTGGCAATAAATGGTTTGCTTTCGGACCATTACTAGCAAATCAAGTTGACAAACAACGATTGGCTTTTTCAATGACTTGTCAACATCAGAATTTATCTGAAGTTATTATTCCTTTCGAAAATATTTGCAACGATCCTAGAAATGTTAAATAACAGGTGAGTCAAATAAACTAAATTTACTTTTATCTTGTATACGATCTATTAAGATAGATATTGATTATGAAGTTTCTTTTCTTGGTAATATGGTTCCATGAATGTGATCTTTTAGTTTTTTATCAATTAATAAAGATATTAATAAACATCATCACAACATCTTTTCATATTTTAATATTTACCGGTAAAAACTATGCTTTCAGTTCATGACACTTCTGAAAAAAAGATGTAAGAATTACATGTGTATTTAAGTTCTCTTTCCCGTAGAGAAGAGTCCAGCAAACATAAATTGTCTGATTGCTTGCTTGTATGTCCGCAGGGTCAAAAAAAACATCGAAGACTGATTTTTCGAAAAAGACATTTCGATGCAGGGACTTCGAATCTGATGTTAGTTTTTCAAAAATTTTTAAAAAAAATTGTTTTTTAGACAAAGGACTATTTTTTTACAAAAAATCGTTTTTTATATAAAATTTGACGAAATGGCTTTTGAGGTTGGAGACTTCGAATCTGATGTTAGTGTTTGCAAGTTATATAAGCAAATGGTCCCGTAGCATTGTAGAACACCATTTCTACGAGAAAGAGCGAAACGAGTCCTTCGACGAGCGTTACTTGTATATAAGAATGTAGAAATATTCAATACTTTGACTTGTTCTCATACTCATTATATTATATTTTCAGAAAACGCTTTCTTTTTATTTATTGCTTGTTGTTTGCTATCTACGGTGGTCTATTAATTTAAAATTATTTTCAGATAACTCGAAATAATAAAATATTCGTTAAGTTTCTATTAATAATTTTTGTAAGTACTAGCGTACTCTTTGTATATTAAGATAAATTTGTGATTATTATAGTTATTTAGATTAAAAGAATTAAAATATGAGTTATGTACGAGTTGGACGTTTCTGTACATTGATTCTGGTACTTATTTTATTTCTTTACATTATCATGTCAAATATGCTACTGAAAAATGATAATATTAATATTTCATCATGGCCAAATTTATTTAAATTGAATTATTATAAAATTAAACAAGTATTTGATATATCAATCAGTAATAAAAGTCTTCCTAAAATACTTATTGTATTAGGTACACGTCCAGAAGGAATAAAATGTGCTCCTTTAATTGCTGAACTAAAATCTGATTATTATCGTTCAAAATTTCAAATTATTGTTCTTAGTACTGGTCAACATCGAGAAATTCTACGCCAAAGTTTAATGGCATTTAAACAAACAGTTGATATTGATTTAGATTTAATGATAAATAATCAAAATTTATCTGATCTATTTCATCGAATATTTTTTCAAATAAATGAACAAATAAATCTAATTAAACCAAATTTATTAATTGTTCAAGGTGATACAACAACTGCACTTGTGTCTGCTTTAGTTGCTTCGTATCATCAGATTCCAGTTGCACATGTTGAAGCCGGTCTTCGAACATTTAATTTATCAAATCCATTTCCCGAAGAACTTAATCGAAAAATAATTGATTCATTTGCTAAACTTATGTTTGCACCAACAACATTTGCTAAAGAGGTACTTACTCGAGAAGGTGCTTGTGAAACAGATATATTTATAACGGGTAACACTGGTGTTGATGCGTTTTATCAATATTATAAACAAGAAAATTCAAATAAAAATAATTTTATATTAAGAATAATTGATAATTTTAAAAAGAATTCAATAGATAAAACTCGTTCAACTGTTATTCTTGTTACTATGCATCGAAGAGAAAATTTTCAATATTTATCTGATATGTGCCGTGCTATAAAAACTATAGCTGACGAACATAATGAAAATATTTTAATTATTTTACCTGTTCACCCAAATCCAAATGTTAAAAATGTCGTATTAAAAATTTTAAATAACTTAAATAATGTTAAAATTGTTGATCCAATATCATATGATATATTTGGATATGTTTTATTAGAATCAGATATAATTATGACTGATTCAGGTGGAATTCAAGAAGAAGCAGTTAGTATTGGTAAACCCGTTATATTAATGAGAATGACAACTGAAAGACCAGAAGGAATTTATCTTGGTACAATTAAACAAATAGGGATTTTTTATGATGATATTATAAAAGCAGTTAATGATGAATTGATAAATATTAAAATAACGAATCAAACATCGAAAAGAAATATTTTTGGTGATGGAACAGCATCGAAACAAATTGCAACTATTATTGAAAATTATTTTTCCGGAAAATATAAATCAAATATACAATGTATGACAAAATTTCGTCAAGATTCTATTGCTCAATATGTTTATTCATATACAAATATATCATCACATACTATTCGACGAAATATGATGATAAATTTAACAAAAGTACAATCGGCTCTTACTCTGGATGAAATACTTAAAATTCCTAGTCAATATAATATATTAAAGAAAAATGAGAATACATTTGCACTTACTGCTATTATTGGATTATATAGACGTGAAGGTATAATTCGACGATGGATTGAAGCACTTCTTATACAAACACATCCACCAAAGGAGATTTGGATTATTTATTTTGCTTCACCTGTTGCAGAAAAACTTGATGTTGAAATTAAAGAAATGCGTTCATTATTCTACAATGGATCAAATTATTGTAATAAATGGTGTATAGAAAATAAATGTAAAATGAATAATATTAGTAATGATGAAACTGAATCGAATTGTTTCGATAAATGTTTGAAGTTTTGTATGACATTACCGTCGATTTTATTCGTTGGTATGGGACAAATGCAATTAAAATATTTTGGAAGATTTCAACTTGCACTACAATGTCGAACAAAATATGTTATTATTTTTGATGATGATTGTATACCTCAAAAACGATATTTAGAAATTGCAATGTATACGATTAATACAAAAGAATATCGAGGTATTTTAGGGACTAAAGGTACACCTACGTCGGAAAGTTATTATTATGGTCCTGTATCAAAAAGTAGTCAAATAATTGAAGTTGATGTCGTTGGTGGAACTTGGTTTATGGAAAGTGAATGGGTTAAACTTATGTTTCATGATAAAATATATTCATGGAACACTGGTGAAGATTTTCATTTATGTGCAAATGCACGTAAATATGCTAATATTAGAAGTTTTGTTATGCCTATTGATAAAAATGATGATACTACACATTCATTTACAAAAGATTATTTCGGTATTAGTAAGAGAGGAGATACAACTGGATTCGTACATGGAACTTCATCAAGTAGAAAATTTATTAGAGATCAATTATGGTTACGTGGTGATCGTTTAATGAATAGTTATAAAATATCAAAACCATCATTACTATTATTTGCAGAAACACAATATGATACTATGTTATTAATATCACTTGTACAACAACAAATGATTCAACTTGATGGTTTAATACATTTTGCAACTTCAAATATGTTAAAAACAGATATACAAATGATTAAAATTAAAAAAGAATTTCGATCAGTTCATGATTTCATGATTGGTCGTGATTTTAATATAGATCCAACACCTATTACTGCTACAGCTGAAATTCATTATGGATTTGATATGGTTATGCAAGGTACACAAAGTACAGCAGTAATTATTCTAGGTTCTTCATCTACAATAAATATGTTTGCATTAGTGTCAGCAGCATTCTTAAGAAATATTCCTATTATTAATATCTATATACAAGATAATATTGTGGATTTGAGAAGAGCAGAAGTAATTCTGACAATGTCTTCCTTTACTATTCGAACTTTTACTAATCAAACATTTAGTAACTTGCAATCTCAACAGTTAAATAATCTTCTAGTTCATCTTTATATATAAAAAGGGTTGAATTGACACTCATGTCCTCGAATTAAACATCTACTCATTTTTTTCGCAATTTATTTTTTTATGAAATTTTGTTTGAAGTATAAAAGTAAAATGCATTCATTTTAGATATAAACGTTATTAGTTAATTTCTACTCGACTGGATTGTAAAAATGAATCAGGGCTCAAATCAAACAAATATTGAAGAAGTCAAAAGATCTTATTTTAGTAGAAAAATCCAAATGGTGCTGTTGATAGTTATCTTAATCGTATATCATTTTATAAACCTTCCTTAATTCTATGGATGTCCTAATACTTTACATTCATATGCCAAAAAATATAAAAATCAAAGAACAAATGTAAATATAACATCTGCGGATTCTATTTTAACTTGGTGTGCAGAGAATCAAATTGAATTATCAAAATGTTCTTGGACAATAGGAACATTTCGGAATCATTTTTATAGCATGGCAGCTTTAATCAGTCGTCCATATCCTGATTCAATGAATAATAATAGTGGACTAGCCTTCGTTCGATTAGGAGATGGAGAAACGAAACTTTTATTTGGACGTTTGATTAAGACTATTGACCAATGGTCAATGCCTCGTGGTCAATCAACATTAGGGAAAGATTTAAGAAAAGTATTGCATTATCCGAAATATCAATATAATACATTTAGTCCATTTTATTATGGAATTTATGATACTAAAGGTATTTGTCCTTTTCATGAACTTCTGTCAACGATTTATCAGCATCCAAAATATTCAACATATGCAAATTTATTTGTCAATTCTAATTATCCTTCTACGAAACTATTGCATCAATCATTTATTCGAGATTATCGAAAAAAGATTATTCTAATAATTAACAATGAAACTAGCTCACAAAAGCTAACTGCACTGAATGCATGGACTTGTGAAATATTGCTCTATCCAAATAATGGACCTTTGTTTTGGGAAAATGATAAGTTTAGAAAGCAAGCAATTGGAAAAATTGTTGACGCAGCAAAGCGATACAGAAATCGATTATTCCTATTTTCGATTGGTGCACTATCGAAAGTTCTCATTCATCATGCCTGGCTCGAAAATCCTTATAATCGTTACATTGATTTTGATTCTGCACTTGATCAAATGACAAAAAGTAGAGTAACTCGACCATATCAATCGAATGCAGAACTCAACTATGATCCGTCGTATGTTATCAAATTTGATACGAACAAACATTTATTTCGGGTGTCATCTGTAGACTAAAAATACTTTCTATTTTGTTATTATTTTTTGTTTCATGATGTGTGAGGTGTGGGTGTGAATGTTCACTCTGCCTGTCCTCACTCACAACCGCACCGTTTCTATGTTTTCCTCTCAAGTCGGCACCCCTGAAACTGATGTCTAAACGATTTCTTTTAGTTTCTGATCCCTATAAATAAGAAGACAGGAAAACTAATTAAAGCAAAATTATCATCTTTTATAATGAGTAACGTGCATGGCCACCATTATAAGAGTTTAATGGTTAACCTCTTACTGTCCTAGTTTTGCCAACTGGCAACATTTTGTCATACAGGGAATTCGGCTTTTTTCAAGTAGTCGGTTGAAAAGCGTTAAAAGCAAAGTGTTAATAGGTCTGATTGTTCTAAGGCATGTAGAATATTCTTTCATTAATTCTATCGATTCCTTTGTCGTTGAAGGCATGTATTGTAACGGAAGAGTTGCTCTTCATTGCGTTTTCTTTTGTCTTTCAAGGCGTTTTGGACGGCTCCCTGAATTCTTGCCCACTTTTTGTCTGACGCTTCTTTAGAGGCTCCATTCCAATTGCTGCCAGCTCGATAATGCAAAATTAAAATGTCACCAATGATGCCATGATCATTGGGTTTACTTATGTTTAAATCGCTTGGCCATATTAGTTCGAACAAATCAGGATTTTGGTGAATACGCTCAATCATCTCTGGACTTTGACGTTGATATTGTTCTTGGCACCCACTTCTATCACCGTGAATATCACACTGTGCATTCCATATCCCCTTGATACGAATCAAAGGATGTTCTTTAATCCAATAATAAGACTCACCGCCACTATCAACAGCTGAGTTACCGATTCGAACTGATCTCCATCGCATCTTGTTGAGGTCTGGAATAGACTGTATATTTTGAAAAATAATGAAGTTAGGCCATATATAGAAAACATAAGGCCCAGGTTTGTGCCCATGTGGTCTTCGTTGCCAGATAGTCATAATCTCATACGTTGCTATTGGCATGACATCCTCCCAAACCCAATCATTGATGAAAAACATATCAACATCAAGAAACCAAACTCGTCCTTTATGTTTCGAAGCGTGCTCTTGAATAATCCAATGAACAACAGAACCGTGAGAATTAGATGGATGGTTGATTTGAAGTGTATAAGGTACACGAATATATTTCACCTGAAGTTTATCACATAGTTTTTTTATGTCATCTGCTATGTGTGGCTTGTCGCGGAAACTATGGTCAAAAACCACATATTCAAAAGAGTTATTCGGAAGAAATGCAAGCGCCGAAACATAATTGATTTCAATGAAATCAATGCGATTGATGGCAATGACGATAAGAAGAGTTTTAGGATCCGTAGAAGGAATTAAGAACTGCGGTAACTGACATGTTTTGTTTTTGTAAGATGTGAGCGATACTGATAATGATGAATTTGAAGAATAATTCAAAGTTTGATTATTAGATGATGCACCAGTCAGATAAGAAGAGACCAGATGATTAGTTGTTAAACATTTAAAATTCGTTAATACATTATAAGTCCCACTGATGATTTCATTATATGGGTTTATCATATAAAGACTAAATATGATGATTATCAATAATATCACCACCCAACGAACTCTCGAGATAGATCGCATTGATAGAAAACTAGAAAAAATAAATGCAAAATCATTAAATACGTATAATGTTTTTTCAGGAATGTAACGTCACCTCTATGAAAGTATAAATAGTACACTAAATTGTAACGGAAAAGAGATGCAATAAGCTTTTCAGGGATGTATATAATACACCTAGAACTGCTCACAGTTCCAAGTTCGGAGAAACTAGTTAAAGGAACTTCCAACACAGTTCTTTTAAAAGGAACTGATCTGTGTCAACGATTCTTTTAGAGGAACTGAAATGTTCTAACAGTTCTTTGACAGAGACTTCCCTGTGCCAAAACTCATTTCTTCAATACGAATTGGAATATTTCTTGAAGAGATATTCCAATTTACGAAGCCAAAATAGAATTCATCAGAAAAAGTCACAATTTGTATTGAAAAAGTGTGCTATGAAACAGACCAGTTCCTATGAAAGAACTGTTGACACAGTTCAGTTCCTTTCAAATAACTGGTAGAACAGCTGACGAGGGAACATCTCCAATTGAAGGGTCGCTTTGGAATTCGGGCACCTTGTATAAGGCAGATCCCATTGAGGTATGAAAAACCCTAACAGGAGAAGGGCCCATAGGCCTTGTGTTCAGATTCATACGCAATATGCTGATATTTTAGCCTTCCAGATCGACCAATCCCAGTAGTGTCAAATACGAAATTTGAATTCAAATATTCAAATTTGAATTCAAATATTCAAATATTATACTTGAATATTTTAATCGAAAAATATTCAAATATTCTTCAACATCATAGCTGAAAATTATTCAAATATTCAAATATTCAAATATTCTTCAACATCATAGCTGAAAATTATTCAAATATTCAAATATTCAAATATTCTTCAGGATCATAGCTGAAAATTATTCAAATATTCAAATATTCAAATATTCTTC